TTTAGCTGTAGTCTGTCTGGGTTTACCCAATCAGACTAATTCCTCTTTTCCTCTCCTTTCTCTTCCTCTTCCTTATAACTTCTTTGTAATTACTTTATAATTGAAATATAAACCAAACCTATAAAACCATCATACCCATTTAGTGAGATTTGAGTCCTCATCTGAGCACCCAACCCTCACACAATCTCACAAAGGGATACTCCACCTTACTCATAGGCTTGGAAACCCAAGACCAAGCCAATAAATGCATCAAAGAGAAAATCTGGTTTGGTTGGGGTCTCCACAAAACCAAAGCGGGCAGGGATCCACCAAAAAGATGCTATAACTGTAGAAAAACAAGCCACACCCCCCCTCATGTCCGTCCCCAGCTATGTGTCCTTACTGCAGTGAAGGACACCACACGTACGCATGTCCTAAAAAAGGAAAAGCACCGATGAAGTGTACAGCTTGTGTGAGCACCGATGAAGTGTACAGCTTGTGTGAGCACCGATGAAGTGTACAGCTTGTGTAAGCACCCTACTCAAAGATGACACAACCAAAACTGCCAAAGGTATTTTTGAATCTAATAATCAAGATCTTCTCCATTCACCTTTCAACCCAATGTGTGCTACACGCATTGCTGAGGGTCTGCCTCCTTACAACCCAAGTGCTTCTCCAAAAATAGGTATCACCCAAGAAGATGCTAAAACTAACTTACAATGTTAGAGAACCTTGAACAAAAACTTAACTTACCTGACATCGAGTCAATTCTACAATTAAATTGTCAACACTCACCAGACACTGCTAACTCCCTTTTCAATTCAGAACTCACAAAATCCTTCTCAATTCTGTCATCACAAGAACCTAACATTAATAATGTAGATTACTTACCCCAAGAAAATGCAAACTGGACCTTAATCAGTCCCACACCTAGCAAAAGCAACACCAGTGCAAGACCAGTGCTTATACATCAGGAAAGACTTAAATGCACAAATAAACCCATTACCCTCATCCTCAAGGGATATTGCTGCATGTACAATCACATACACATCTGGCTTCACACTGCTTGCCATTAGTGTGTACAACAACACATCAGTATTCTCGGGATTCACAGCCTACAAAACTCTAATACAAAACTTACTTCTAGAAATCCAATTCCTTCCAACAATCATCAACACAGAGTGTAACTTACATTCAGCAATATGGAACCCGCCTCATATTGAAACACAAGACAAAGACTCCAACCGCCTGATGGACCTAATGTCCAAATGGGACATGACACTGCGGCCGCCGTGTGGAATTCCCACTTTTGGGGTTGGTTCAAGGACAACCCTAGGTACATCTATAGACCAAGTATGGGTTAATGAACCTTTTGACAAGGTAATCCAACTTTGTTTCATTGACACAGAAAATATCACAAGCCATTTTTCAGATCACCAGGCCTTAGTCACTACCTTCAGCACAAAAACAAACACAACCTCACCTAAGAAAGGTAACACAAGAGTAACAAAAAACTGGAAACTGGTAGAACACATTGTGTTGAAAATGGACATCCAAAACAATCTACCAGTTATCCAGCCTCTAACAAACAGAGACCACTGTGAACATCATTCAACTTCCGCACATTGGAAGAGGAAAATGATTAACAGTACAGTTTGTCATGAAAAGATCCAATACCGCTCACCTGAGCCTCAACACCCACACTACATATGTGCAGTACGCTGAGTAAATAGTTTTCTATCATGTACATACAGGTCTGCTCAGTTTTTTGCCCATCAGAATATATAAATCACATGTTATACCACATGTAACTTTTTTGACTTGGAAAGAACTGTCCCAAGAATTCACTACATATAATTCTGTAGCTGCTCAGGCAATATTTTTGAAGCTATTTCTTAGGAACAGAAAGGGTATTACATGCAGTTGACTTGATGAGATTACACCAAAACGTTGAGTCAGTGTATGTAGTCTATCTTTTGAATGCTTTTGTCAATCTGAAAAAAGTTACAGCATGTATTACATATGAATAACTCATCCTGCTGAGCAGATAACTGAGCAGAACTGTATGTACATGATAACCACCAATTCACTGAGCCTGCTACACATATGTAGTGTGGGTGTTATGGATCAGGTGTGGATTGATAGATCATTTTATGACAAATGATACTCCCAATCATTTTTTCCTGCCCACTTGGGGAAGTTGATTAATGTTTGCAGTGGACTTAATAGAAAACTTTGACAAAGAGCTAACAGAAGCAATCACAAACGCTCTGAACAACAATTCTCCTTGGAAACCACCTGCAGGTAAGCACAAAAGGTGGTGGAATCCTAAGGTCCTTGAACCTCTGCGGAAAGAAGCTTTGAAAGCCAAACGAAGAATGAAGAAAACACAAACAGAAGAAGACCAATCAATTTTCAAATCAGCACACAACAAATTCAAGGCAGTGGTTAACAAAGCCAAAGAAAACAGTTGGAAGACATATCTATCAACACTAACCCATGAAACATTATTCTAAGCCAAAAAGTTTGCATTGGGCAGACAGCCATCCTTGGTTATCAACACTCTGATAAAAGGAGAAGGTACTACTTGTTCATCTAATGAAGAAAAAGCTGATGCGCTGTTTAAAGCCACATGTGTAGCAACAGCTCCATGTGACTTACAGGACACGGAAACCCCTCAAATTCCCCCCCACCTAAGAAACAAAGAGTACTACAACTATCATGCCTAAGCTCATAGACGCAATCAACAAATACTCACACAAAAAGTAATCAATGCAAGCCCCCCACTCCAAGCACCAGGTAACAATGGCATTCAAAACTGGGTATGGTAAACTTTGTGGCCAGTAATAGGTAAGAATTTGCTAGCTCTGTACCAATGCATAACCATAACAGGAATCTTTCCAACACGATGGAAAGAAGCCAAAACAGTCATCATTCCCAAAGCGGGAAAATCAGACTATACCTCCCCCTCATCTTTCAGACCCATTGCGCTACTTAACATGGTAAGCAAGCTGTATGAGACACTTCTTACACTTCAGTTGTCTCAACAAGTAGAGAAGCTTCACTCCTCAACAACGTACACTACGGTGGCCGCCCCAACAGGTCTAGTCAAGAAGCATTAGTTCATCTTGTAGCTTACATGCAAGGAGAATGGGCTAAAGGTAACATAGTGGGCGCTATGTTTGCTGATGTAACATCAGCCTTTCCTTCAGTCCACCACCCAAGATTGATGGACATGCTTGAGAAGAACGGCCTCCATTCAACTAAATCAACATCATTAAAGACTTCCTCACAAACCGGTCAACTTGACTAGCTTTCAATGGTTTTCAATCATCACCTTTTGAACTTACACATGGATTACCACAGGGTTCTCAGTTATCCCCTCTACTCTACCTCATTCACAACTCTTCATTGTTTGACATTGATAAACCAATGATCTGGGCGGAAGCGTCAGTTTTATAGACGACATAATTCTGCTAGCATCCGCGCCAGACACTCACCAACTCCAGTCAAAAGTGAAAACTCTCACCTATTGGCAAACAAAATGGGCAGAACACCACAGGGTGATCTTTGACACAAAGAAAATCCTCTGGATGATATTCAGCACAAAAACATACAACAATCCTCCGAAGATTGACTTTGGCCCATGAACGGACCTTATCCCACAGGACAGCACAAAATAGCTTGGTGTTACGTTGGACAGTCAACTTAAGTTCTCACAACATTGCCGTGATGTCATTTCAAAAGGTAAACAACGCTCAGGATTCATAGCGTCGCTTGCGAAGTCTGAGGGGGGCATCCCACCACGTCTAATGAGAACCCTTCTATCAGCAACCATCCACGCTGCAACTGAATACGGTTTAGCAGCCTGGCTCCCCTTTGACTCGCCCCTATACTTCCTAAACCACCTTTCGACTATAGACAACACCTGCGCACAGACTGCCCTTGGTGCACTGCAAACAACCCAAAAAGTGTTTTTACAACACAACATGAACCTCACACTACCAGGAACACAGTTAAAAGCTAAGGTAATGAACTTCATTGCCAGATCACTCACAAAACCTAGTCACCATCACCTCTTCCCTATTGTTCAACAGGCTCAAACATCAAAACAACACAATCACTGTAATGTTTTCCATCAATTCTTTCAACGCAGTCTGGGCAGGGAAATCAACAAATTCACAACTCAGCTCCCTGTGGACCCTTTGACAACATTAATCAAACCACCCAATTACTCGGCGCTAATTCAAGAAGACGAAGATGTGGCAATACTTGGCACCAACTTGCTTTGACCATCTATCCAACACGTGGTAATCTACTCGGACGGCTGAAGAATACCAGATAAGAACACCACAGCAGCAGCATGGTGCCAAAATACAAACAAATCAGTTGCTCAACACTTAGGTAAGGCACGGTTGCACGGCATATACCAAGCTGAGTATAGAGGTGTACAAATTGGCCTCACAATTGCACTCAAAACAGCATCAGCCAACACAAGAAGAATTTCAATAATTCTCGACAATCAGTTGGTTATTAAAGACCTATGCAACTGCCCGCCAAACATCCACCACGTCTGTCTTCTTCAAGCACGTCGACGTGCACACACAGAGAATTTCGATACGAGTTTGCAAGAGTTTTACTCACTTTTTGACAGACAGGATGATTTGTGCCGTTGAGCACCCCTTTGTTGGCCAAGAATCGGTCGAATAAGAGCATCTACCCGGCTGTGTCTCAAACAAGAAAGGGGGTTAGCAATCCCTTGTCACGTCTTGTATCCCTTCAACCGCTGAGCTTTTCCCTCTTGCTGAAACAACGCGGGTGCTGCAATCCACTCACTCTTGGCGAACCGAATCAAGCCGTGGTCTTTGTACTAGTTTTGAAAGTACCATATCACGCAAAGAGCCATATGAAACATCTGAATCCATCATAAGCGGATCAAATCATCATTTTCAAACACTGTCAGTACCTTGAACTATCTCGCCCTTCGAGCTCAATCAATATCGCACCTTAAGCTTTTCAGAATGCGTTTGTCAATCTGTTATTCGCATCTGAGTATTTGGGAAAGCACGGCTTCTGATTCTTTCTCTTTAGCAGCTCGCACCTCTCACCACTGGAAAAAGGGTGTCGCTGTCACTTCGCTGAAAGCTGTGAATGCTTCGGTAAGTGACACGCTTCCGCAGTCAGGTGAGGGAATCTGCCAATCATTGGCCAAGTTCACAAGATTTTTACTCGGATACGACAAATTAACGAAGTCTTATCCACCGGCACCTACCGATGACGAGCGCTGCCAACTTCGACCTCTGAGTCAACACGAAATAATGTCGGATCACAAGATTTTCGGGACAAACTCCGTCTCTGCTCATGTTTCATCAGACGACGAAGATATTATTCCGTTCAAGTTGCTCTTCCTTTCCGACTTGAAGAGCTATGGCATTAGTAGAATGACGCTGGATTGGGAAAAAAACGACAAGGATATTTGGAATCGCACCTTAGCAGTTTTGATTGTTAAACATTGGCGATATGCCAAGTCAGAAGGTGCATTCAGCGGAGAGTCTGTAACTCCATCTCACAACACGGAAAAGATATGTATGGGTGTAGTTCTTCGATGGATTCGTGGCCGCGCAAACGATGTTCGCCAAAATCGAGGATCTCGAGAAAAGGTTCTCCGGAAAGAAACACTTCGTAAGAAACAGGTGGTGAGTCAAAGACGTCTCTCACTATCTTGTGTATGTTGAGGATCCCATGCTGATTGTTGTTAAATCGTGAAGCTTTTTAAATACCGCACCGATTCGCTGACTCGTCTTATGAAAGCCAAGAAACTTGAGCAGAAAGCGTCCGAAATCATGCCTCATCACGACTGTTGCTCTGACACGGAGTGGGAGCCAGAAGACACTCAATATCCCTCAGTTGGACTTATCTGGCGCAGTCAACAATATGCGTCAATACTGCAACAGATCGACGGCCTTTCCTACAAGTACTGTGCTTCTAGTCGCGGGGTAGTCAATGCTCACAAAAGGTTTGATCAATGTCGAACCAAAGCCACCCATACTAATCCACATGCTGCTGTATGTATAGGCCTCCTCGAAAACTGTTATGACCCAGTTTTTCTGTCTAACTTGATGCCTGAAGAAAAGGCTGCTCTTCATATGAAACCTGTTACAAGTCTCTTAAACATACTACCTCCTCTCATTGAAGATTCTGTTGTTTAGCTTTTCCTTTGTTTGTAGCTCCATCAAAATACCGCACAAGTTGTATTTTCTCATGGTTCAAAGAAAGATAAATAGATAAGAAAACATTTGTATATATCAAGTCTCTGAAATCTTCAAAAAGTTACACAAGCGTACACAGTGTTTCTCCAGTCAATATATCTATTGGGTAATAAGTGAAATCATACTTAACCAGGGGCTATTGTGCTTATTCAGTCTTGAGGTGTGTTGAGAATCAATAGAAGGAAATAGTATGAGAAAGACCTGCTGGGTGTAGGGTCGGGTGCGTGTGTCACAAAAATAAAAAGGTACATATGTGGTATAAGTATGAAAAGGAATGATTTATTTTATATTTTCTTCGCTTGATGACATATCAGAGATGGCCTAAAATCACATAAGGGTCTTAGCTTTGATAAATGAGGGCACAGATTGTGGTGGAGCAGCTTACCATGCTCCGGAGACTCACTAGCGAGACAGTTGGTTTGTCTATTCCAAAAGTTCCTGAGGGATTATGAAGGGCAGCGCAGTGTCCAAATAAATCGTCCATACATACACATTTGAGGTAGCATTCGTTATAGACTACTTTAGCATTCAGATGCGAGAGGTATGAATAAGGACTTTGAATGCTGTCGATGGCATCTAACTCGCGGAAAACATGTATGAGAAAAAAAGGTGTCGTATGGCTGTGAGGTCGTATGATGTGATGTATCACACCTGTGCGTGTTTTACCCTGATCTATAAAATCCACGTAGCTATTTCCGCGATGTTCATTGAATGTACTGAAAGACTTTCCGGCATGTCGCCAGACTGATGTTTCCTCAAGCTTAATTGACACCTCACAGCCGATCTCTACTAAGATGGGTTGGATTGAAAGGCTGATGTCTAAGGAAGGTGAGAACGCTTTCCATTTCGGTGCGGGTTTTTTCAATATTATGTCGGCACCGATTTCCTCTGCGTATGTCGAAGGTGCATCTTTCAGAAAGTTGAGAAAATAAGAGCGCTGAGTGTGCTTATTGATCATGGTCTGTCCTACAACAGCTGGCAGCGGGCAAATGGGAGTTTGAGAATAAGCATATCTTATCTGAGGAGAGAAGCGCGAGTGCAAAAGACTTACAACGATTACCACTTTTAGAAGATTTGACAAGGTTGCCGATGATACGCTCCCCAGTCCAAGCGGCGGTGTATGAAGGCGGTCCGAGAAGAAGGCATTGAGCTGGGAGGTGCTGGGCAAAATGTAAGTTTGATTTCAACTGGATTGCAGGCCAAACTTCTTGAAGGTGAGTGCGATATTGTACAAGCAGAATGGGAAGGGTTTTAAGGTCGTCGGGGGTCATTGTGCGTGAAACCGATATATTGACGATCTGCGTGGCGAGGGTGATGGCTGTATGGATTTTTGCAGAATCTGAATTCGGTTCAGCTTTGTGGTGATAAGGCACCAATGCAAGAACAATGTAGACTGTGTATAAAACGAGCCATTCGGAGGCTTTGGGAGTGCCAGAAAATGGCATACCAATCTTGGAAGGCACACGCGTGAGCCAAGAGGGAACCAATGTATCTGCTAAGCACTTTGTGAACTAACTCGAGCTCATGAGGGGTTAGAGTGGGACCGGGGGGGGCTTGAAAGTTGAGTCAGATTGGGCACTTTTAACACTGCCGTTTTGGGTTGGCTCGTAAGAACTGTCAGTGGCTGTCTTAAGTTTTGCTGCACGCGTATACTGTGTTCGGCTAGTCAAAGATCCAGATAGACCACTCTCAGTAGCAGGAGGAGAGTGCGGATCACTCATCTCGACATCAGGAGCGGGCGGGGGTGGTGTTGGTGACGGAGGGTAATCGCCGTTGTGAATCTGGGTCTCCTGCGTCTTCTTGAGAGCGTTCCCAGCCACAGAAATCTGAAGGTAAGTGGTGGATAGATCGGCTAGAAGGCCAAGAATCAAACAATGCATTATGTCGACAGTGGCGAATTCGAGTGCCTGCCAATACGGAAGCTCATAAAACACTGAGTAGCGTGATCCATTCATTTTCAAGAGTTTTTCCTTTTCCTTTGGGTTGGGGGCGTCCACCCAAAGCTGTACCTCCTTTCGGTGTGCGGCGTTGGTCCGAGGTTGGAATATTTTGACGTCAGGTTCGTTGATGTCATCCAGAGTGATATAGCATTTGGAACAGAAATTGGTTGAACGGTGTGACGAAAATCCAGAAACTTTCTTCATGGCCGGTACATCCGCGATAAGAGGCCATAAAGCAACACGCACAACTCTTCCGCTGGGATGAAGTGCCGTCTTAGTAAATCGGATACCCTTCCAGAGGTCAAGAAGTTCGCGAATGAGGGGTGACAATATGTGATCCATGTGCTCATGATTAGGCTCGCGACGGTTGGGAGTTATACCCACACAGGAACGTGTTCTCAGCTCGGTATCGTAAGTGAGGTGGGAGATTGAT